GACGACACTCGTATAACTGCTCTCCATCCCCGTTCCTGTGCACTTTTGAGCCGGAGAATGTGGCACGCTGTTGCAGCTGCTGACCCATGCACCTCGCCCACGCCAAAGATCGGGTTCCCCGGGTGAGTGTACAGTTTGACCAGGTATTGGGCCACCCTATGTATCTGCTCACTGAGGTGGGTTATGGGTTACACCAAGGGCAACAATGAAGCGCGCAAAAAATTGTGACATTATGTTCTGTTCAGAGCTGCATACGTGAAATCACAAAAGACATCCATTTATTCAAAAACAATAACAACTTCACAAGAATGCTGAGTTATGGGCAAAAGTCGTGCCCCAGGCGGGAGTCGAACCCGCACCTCACGCTTTCCGGGAGTGCGCTATCCGTTACGCCACCAGGGCCGCTTTTACCCTCTCAGCTCAACGGCTTTTATGCCGTAGCCTATCAGCACTCACACGTTTAACATGGTGAGCCGCTCAGCCGTAATCGTTAAATATCGGCAATGAACCGCTAGGCCGAGTGCTGATAGGCTAGGGCATAAAAGCCATTGAGCTGAGAGGGTAAGAGCGGCCCTGGTGGCGTAACGGATAGCGCACTCGCCCGGAAAGCGTGAGGTGCGGGTTCGACTCCCGCCTGGGGCACGACTTTTGCCCATAACTCAGCATTCTTGTGATAACATTCGGAACGCGAACTGCGGCGTTAAACAGCAGTTATCATAACAAACAAGTTCAATAACAACTTCAAATACGAATCACAGGGACAAAAGATTAGGAACCTATCGAGCCATTTCAACTGGCTTTTGCCCTTTCGGCACTTTTTTCTTTCGATGATTTTTCCGTTTCTCTTTCTTGAAGGATTTCTTGGTACCATTCTGAGGAGTTGAAACTCTCATTACAGTATGCGGTAACCTATTCGACATCACAAGACTTTTCAATCGACTGATGGCTAATGGCTCTTTTTCTGGATCCAGTATCGAGAACCTGAATAAGGAAATCATCATCCCACCTCTGGTGGGCCAATTGTATGCTTTACATACCCCGAGTTACGGTACTGCTCTGTAGTGTCGTGAACAGCTGTCTGTTTCATGAACGCAATGGCTTCCTTCACTAAACGATGGGCTGGCGATGATATTGCCTTGTCTATGTCCACAGCCGGTTTTTCTGAAATCTCAGTCTATTTTTGCTTACTTGTTAACTTATCAATTTATTCAACTGCAGCAACTGCATAAAACGTCTTGCCATAGCAACGTCGATAGCTACTCGATTCACAAAAAAAAGCGCGACGGATTTTTAGGAAGAAAGCGCGACGGATTTTCAGGAAGGAAGGAAAACGCACGGTGGGTTTCGGAATGAGCCGCACATCCAGCTTCTGTATCGAAACTTTAATGCGTACTGATCATACAATAACTCGCGAAAGTGGACCAACATTCATGTCAATGATGCTAGCCTCCAGGTTGAACGCTTTCGACCCCTGAAGGAAGCTATTCCTGTGAACCGTAAGACAGCTTCGACGCAGTTCGGCGACGGGGAAGGGGAATTTTGCTTCCCATCGATGAGCCGACCCAGCTAAATAGCCTTTTCTCGAGTTGACACGTTTTACCACGGTGGCTAGACGAGGTTACTCCAGCTTAAGAACAGTTCACAAGTTTCACCAGGTGAGGCTTGTAAACTGGAAGTAGCGAAGCAATGAATGTGCAAGATCCCCCCCCCCTCCCGTCGCCGAACTGCGCCGCAGCTTTCGTGCACATCTCTGTTAAGGATGAGAAACGGATGAAAGGGAGTTTCACAGGTGCTGAAGACCGCTCCTTTTTCGTACAATAATGGTCAATGGCTTTCTAATATAAGTCATCAAGTTCTAATAATGTACGGGGCGACACTTCCAAAGGCCAGAAATCCTTTGACTCTTCGTCGAAATTAATGGGGATTTATCCTGGATAAGCCATAGTTGCAAAAATAATGCATGGAAAAAATAGTCCATCATAATACTAGCATATCTTCCCACCACCAGGGGCTGACGTCATGGTCTGTTTACGAGACTCATCGTCTGGGTTGGACTTGATACGCAACTCGAGCTCTACAACAATGGGTAAAGGATCCTTCTACTACAAGCGTAAATTGATATGCTAGGATTACTGTAAGAGGTTAGGAGGTTCGTTTTCTGGTGTGGCGTAGAAACTAGGTCACCGCGGCAGACAAATCGAGTGGCAGACAGGGTACATCATCGTGATGTGTGAAATGGTGGTGTCAGTGCTCCCCCCTCCCCCTTCGGAGGGTCTCTAAACGACTCCCCTCCCTTCCCCAACACCTACCTGACCACTTTCCTACGAGTCCCCCGTTCTACCAGTTTTTCGAAATTGTCGTCGATGGAGGGTGGGGTAGGGCCAATGTGAAACGACGGAAAAACCGATTAAAAGTCAACAACCGGGAAAAAAATTTTTCCCAACGCGGGCAAGTCTCCTTCAGGCTCAAGGGCACATACGACCTCCCCCTATCTCCCAACAATGGCCAAATACGACCCCCTCCCTCCACAGCGACCGAGTACGACCCCTTTCCCCCATACGTTTCACACAACGATGCTGCACCCTGATGGCAAGATGTGTGTTGGCAAACACGCCATTGCTTGGGCATCTCACAAGCAGATCTAAGTGAATCCGTGCCGACTATCGTAAACTTGCCATTTTTGTGAACGAATTTGCAAAGAATAGGAATACTCACTCCCACTGGCTCCCGCTTTCAACAGTTCGTCCAATTTCGTGCTGTTCGCCGTTCTTTTCTTCGAAAGCATCTATTTGTCAGCCCTGCTACAAAACAAACAATGAAAGTATGACATCGAACAATCGCGAGGAAATGGTGCATATTCAGCTACAAGGTGGAGCCATTGAACTAGCGCTTCGATGCATGCCTTGCAGCTGAACTGAGAAAATCTTCCCTTCTTTGTCTTCAGTAAATGCTAAGTTATCCAACTTTTGCATTTCAGGGACTAGCAAACATATCGTTACGGAGTTCACATTGAGGGGGAGAGGTGTACTGAGGAAAAGTTCCCGTATTTCTATAATTTAATTAGGTGGCAAGCGGGCATGAGTTCTATGGTATTCGTCGGATTTGTATGAGGCGACCATGATTTCTTCTTTTCAGCGAACCCCCGGACGCCACTGGAGTTATATGAAAAAACCAGATAAGCTTAAGAAATGGCGCTGGTGAGATACGAGACGTTGGCGGGCACCATGCTTCCCGCGATCGGGCAACCGTCCTTACACGGATTTATGCGAAACGGCATTCTCTGTGCTTGCTCAGGGGCGGCACAACGAATGAATGCGGAACATGGCCTCAAGCTCTTTGAAGTAAACTTTCAAGAACTTCAATGAACTTCCAGACCATCACAGAAAATCGCCATAGCATTGGTGATGACCGATTCCGGTGGCTCAGCACTCACAAAACATCATCAACACACTTTATACAATCAGTTTAGCAATATTACAATCTCCAAATACACTTTAACAATCTCATATCAATATGTAAACCTAATTACAGACCTATCCACTTCCTACAAACAGTTGAAGGAGCAAAAGAATTAAGTATACATTCAATTTTCACAATTCTGGCACGGAGTTAAACATCAACTATGCGATTAAACAATTACACTTCTTATCCGGCATGTGGATTGGGCGTGGCATTTGTTACGTGGTGCATAATTTACTCGTGGGCAATTTCAGCTGGAAAAACTGTTATTTCACAGCCACGGGTATGTGGCAAAGAAATCGGAATTCGCCCGCGCCCGTCTGCCGTCGCGTGCGACCGTCGCGTCCGCAAATGACGAAGGGTTTAAAGTGGTATTGTTCTAGCGTAGATAACGTACGAATACGAATAACATGAATGTCTACCATGTCCTTGTCTACATGTTTCCGATGCTCCAATTGAACGGGCAGTGCAAATTTAGGAAATGCCGCTCCCATTGCCGCCCGCGACGAAGTGGCAATTTACGGTTCTTCTGCCCGTCTCCCCACAGCCACGTCCAGTTGAAGTACGCAGCCAGTCCTGCTATATTTGGCTCTCAAATACCCTCGACTGATCACGACTTAATAATAACATAAAAAACAGCTAGAGATGGGAAAAGGCGGTGAAACTTGATCCGCGCTAACTATGGCCGTCTGTTGCTCTTCGAGTCGCCGGCTCCCCTGAAGCATGCAGTATCCCTATCTCTACGATAGGTCGTAAAACAAACGCGCCAGGTCGCACCTGCGCCTCACTCTACTAAAAGACTTAATTAAAAGCATAAGATAGACAAAAAATTGAAATTATGGAAATTACCAAATTACCACAGCTCTCACGAATCGTAGTAGGAAGGTAAACAGAACAGAATCTAGATGGCAAATCATCTCAGTTATGAAACAATTTCAGCAACTTGCTGCCCGTCTTGATCTTGCTCAAACTCGGTGTCTTGTGTAATGATACCGGCTTCGTAACTTTAGATCGCACTTGACCGGCTCGACTATTCGAGCGAATTGTTGAGAAAGTCGATTTACCCATGAAACCTGTAAAACGGAAACGCAACATGAATGTCCAACACTCCATTAAAAAATATGGTGTGATACGTTCATACATTGCGGCAGCGTCCACCAGCGTACGGCAGCGTTTCGAGCGAACGCCAGCGCAGCGATTAGGAAAGTATGGATATCAATTTAGCGAACGCCAGCGCCCACCAGCGTCCACCAACGTACGCCAGCGTCTCGAGGGACAAAGGGAAGTATAGGTATCGATTTGCGAACGCCAGCGCCCACGAGCGTTTCGCGGGCAGTTCTGCTCAAACTGTGCCTGCGAAAACGCCGCTGTATGGTGGTGGATGCTGCCGCAAAGTATGGACGCAGCCTCACATAAACGTGGGATAGGGTAGACTTACTAGGCGAGACAATCCTGAGTCTGACGAGTACAGGCGAGGCGATGGACTTCTTGCTCCCGTCAGCACATGCTGCAAATATTCCTTCACTTTTTCAACCATGTTCTGTTTCAATACACCCCCCCCAAGCAGACCACGACGCTTTCTTTCTTAGCCCACGATATTGCCGTCAATTATGAGGATTTTCAGCTACTACCATAATGGCTTCAATTGAAGAATAAGTACAGTCGTCATCCGGTGAGTTGATTAGGCGCGCAAGGGACGCCGACGCGGCGCTGCGGTGTGTGCCGAGCGCGGCGATCAGCTGGTTCCAGCCCATTCAACCAGGGAAAGAATGGCTAATGTTTTTAGCCATTTTCTCCTTAGTTCATGCTGTTTGGCTGTTTGAGCCGCTTTTCTCCATGGTTAGTTGTTTCTTGTCTTCACAAGGTAAATTATGATTGAGATTCTTCTGGTTTTTGCGTACAATTAAACAGTTAAGCAGGCAATTGAACAAATACCTGAAAAAATCGCAAAACCTAGAGCAAAAACAAAAAAAAAAAACACCTCGTCCTAATTAATTCATAAGCACGATAAAAACATGTAACCTCCAAAAGAAAATAATACGTAGACAAAAGCAGCCAAAACAGCGTAAACTAGAGGGGAAAATGGCTAAAATAGGCTGGAAACAGCTGATCGTCGAGCTCGTGACACGCTTTGCGACCCCTGCCGCCCTAATCAAGTGCCCGGATGACGACTGTACGTCCTTTTCCCCGATTTTCTAAAGCTTTTCCAAAGCAAGGCTGTACAAAATAAGAACGCGCCAGTGGAGAAGGTACGGCAGTCGGCCCGATCCCGCGTGTAGGACGGGTGCGAAATTCGCCATTGAAACTCAGCCATGTTGGACCGCGAAAGTAAAGCAGGCATAACATTTCAAGGTAGCTCACCTGAAAAGTAGTGTGAAGTAGTTGTGACAAGATACGTGAGTCTCCAGCGGCTGATGATTCCGCAAAATGTATTTTATACTTGTTAGCCATCGCCTCTCCTTCCGTCTCAGATACCTGCCTGAATATTGAAACGTTGAAAAAAAAGTATTCAAGTGCAAAGGTCGCGCCAAAAATTGTGTGGCTCAAATACTAATGACAAGATGGTCAACAAATCAAAAATGAGGAAAAAACAGAAAATTTGCTTCAAAGGCCCCATGCTGAACAGTAGCGGCAAAATCCCACCAAAACGAGGCTCTCAGAAATGAATGCTGGGCGTTATGGTGGTTCGAGGCTAAGGTATTGCTCCTATCGCGCTCGTGTTTTCTTCACGTACTTTCGAGCCACGAAAAGTAGTACATCCTTCGTGGCTTGAAAGTACGTGTAGTATGCTTGCCCAACTCCAACCATCCATCCCTAGTTAGTACAACACCATAAGTTGCGAGCGTTAGCGCACAAACAAGAGCTCCATCTTTTCCTCCAGACAAGTCTGTGATTAAACGAACGATTATAGGTTTTTGTGAGCTTGGATTGATCTGGGAGCGGAATGATCCCAGAATCAATCCGAGCTCACAAAGTGGACCTTGAAACTGAGAACAGCTCCTTCGAAAAGCTACACCCTCTCTGCCATATATGAGAAATGTGGCTGGCCACGAACAATAATGTGGGCAGCCACGGACAAGTAAAACGTACCTATATCGTTCTAGGTCATTT